CACGTCACAGTCATGTCAGACCTGGTTTATCTGTCTGTAAGGAACAGGTGCAGTTTCTGCCTCCCGGTGCTCCACTACAATCTCATTTGGGTTTGTCAGAACTATTGTGCTGGCTTGTCTGGAAAACATACAAAGTGTTCTGAGTCTCCAGACTGCTCTCTTGCTGAGCTTCTTTAGCTTTCCACAGACTAATCTAGCAACGCTGGTGACAGACAGGCTGTTGTGGACAGTAGCAATGAAGCTGATAGCCTGCTTGCTAAGTCTGTTACCCTTGAGCTCTGGGTGTCTCCATTTTCTTATAGTGAGAAATCTCATTGGAGGATTACTATTGTACATAACTTCTGTGTCTTAACGTGCAAGTCAGAAAGCTTCCATCCTCCTGTTGCTAAGATGAGCAGTGATGTGTGAAAGGGTTGGTGAGTCAAAAGTTTTTCCTCTGACACCCACCCGTCCCTGCACAGCCGTGACTGGAGTACTCAGGCGATGTTTCTCTCTTACATCACCTCTAAACACCTCCCTAAGTCCTCTCTCAATCTGCTTGCTTTCCCTGCCCGCAAAGTAGCTGATGATTCTTCTGAGGATGTGAAGGAGAAACCTCTCTGGGGCATTTTCCTGGCACTCCATCTCCGTGCGCATGATTGAGTGGTATAAGAGCAGAGCTCTCTATAGCCCAGTAGAGATTTTACAGAGGCTCCTGAGCCACCGAGGCTCTAGACAGGGTACCTGTTCTAGCAATGACAGCAGACTGGTGCGCATACTTTTCAGTCCAGGCTGCAGACGATGGTGGCATGCACTTCCCGCCGTAGGGGATGATGTCAGAGTCATCACTGTCCTTTCTTTGATGGTTGTAAATGGGGTCTTCCCGCTGCATTTGTCACACTCTCCGAGCACTTGAATTTACTGGTCGCTGATGAGGAAACCAAGTCAGAGAGCTGAAGCCTGCTAACATGGAGGGGGCAACACTGCAGAGGCTAAGGTGTCAGACTTCCACCCAACATGGTATTGCAGACCTGTAACTTCAGCACTCAAGAAGCTGAGGCAGGAGGATTGTGAGTTGAAGGCCAGCCTGGGCTATGAAGCAAGGTTGAGGCCAGCCTGAGCAAGATCCAGTCTAAAGGGGAAAAATAAAAACAGCTTTTGTAAAGGAAATCCACATGCTAATTTGACAAAAACTCTTAAGCCCCACTTCAGGGCATTAAAATATATATATTTATATAATTTATGTCAACTATAAACTAGATAATACAGGTTTTCCTGTTTTCTTTAAAATTGAGTGGGTTCTTTTGTGTTTGTTTTTCTACATTAAGCTGCCACTTTGACTAACTTCTGCCCTCAGAACTGAACTTGACCTTTGTTGTAGACCCTTCAGCAGCAGACCTGCTTTAGTGTTGGGGTCCTCTGGGGAGAAAAGGTGACACAGCAAGGGAGTCTATAATGCTGGTTAGAAGTCTGGGTGCTCTGTACCCACAGCGTGGCATCAGATCCCACCCCCAGCATACCTGTAGTCTCGCCTTGGGCCCCTGTGATGGAGAGTTTCTGTCCTCGTTGTGCCGTGGAGCCACACTGATGGTGGCTGCCCTCTTCAGTACAGCTGAGTATGGGCCCTTTGGCTACAGTTTTCTCATGTGGCTCAGTATAAGAATCCCACAGAGCTCTTCTGCCCTTTAATTCTCAACACAGTAAAGTGGGGAGCCTGTCCGCATGAGTTGTCGACTGATCCACAGCACATTATAGATTGGGTGGAAATGAGACCCTTGTTGGCCTTGGGGAAAGCCAGTCATTAGGGTTTTTTAAACACATACTGTGTACTCAGCACCTCTAAACAAAGTGAGAAAACCAGAGGCTTTCTAACAAGAAACCTGCTTCATGTAATATCCCCAAAACTTCAAAAATACAGAGAAAGTATCAGGCTTTTGCAGTGGCCTCTGTGCAAATGTTTCTTCTTAATAGCAAATGGAGTGGAAGGTGGGACAGTGTGGGGAGAGTGCTAATTCTGTTGTCATCCCCTCCCCTCTCCCCTGAGGACTTCCTTCACAAAGTCCTCATGTTATAGGAGCTGTAGCTGGCATGGCCGTGCAGATAGACACAGACACACACACTTTTTTCCTCCCTGGGTCCAGGAGAAAGTCTATATATCTCCCTGCATTTATCTTTACTGCTGGTGAAGCTCAGGGTGTTGGAGTGGGACCTTAGAAATCCACATTGCAACTCAAGTGCCAATCACTAGTTCCAGAAAACCCACTTTCCCACCACAGCCTGCCCTTCGAGAACAAACCTTCAGGGATACAAAGAATTAGTATAATTTTCCAAGCTGTGGGTCCTCAAAAGGAACCTCAGAAGTAACCATGGGAATCTAGGCCCCCCAGCTTCTTGCCTCTTCATAGAAGGCAAAGCTTGGGGATTATTTTCCACCAAATTTAAAATAGATTTGTAAGTGTCTACATAGTGCCGTGTCTTCCAGGCATTCTTACCTTCGCAGTAGTAGATAGGTCTGGCTCTTCAGCCCTCCGAGGGCCCCCTCAGGAGGAGAGTGGCTCTGAGGTGCACTAAGCTGCCGTTTCCTCTGCCTTGACCGGAGTTTGCTGGTTCTGAACTCCCTGGTTCTGGGAAGGCCGTCACCAGACCCCAGCTGCTCTGCACAGAGCAGCTGCCAGCTCAGAGGGACCCTAGCACTCACCTTCTTCACCTCCCCACTGCATTAAAGTGGATGAGATCTTCTTAAGAAAGATTTCCTGAACTCTTGAGCTTAAATCAAATGTTTGACAAAATTATTTGTTAGTCATTCCTCTGACTGTAGTATCTTATACAGAACCCGAAATTGTCGATTTATAAAACACCACTTAGTTTTAAAACACCACTATAAAACTAAGACATTCTCAAAGTTTACAATGTAATGAAAGTCACATTTGAGTATGGTAGATTTTCTCTGAGGTGGTATCATGTATTTAATGGAAATGTAAGAAGTTACAAATTGTTTCTTAATGCCTTTTTGAAAAGGTAACTGTTTGCCTTGAAATTAGACCAGATTTGAAAATGTTTATTTTCTTATAAAGGTATATACATACATACATACATACATACATACATACATACATACATACGTATATATATGTGTGTGTGTTTGATAGAACCAAGGTTATAGTCGGTAGTGAAACTGGTTTCTAGTTGCCAGTGTAGAATGGGAGTCCTCCAGCCTATTAAATTAAAAGATAAGTCTCCCGTAGTGAGGGTGGCTCTCCCCACAGCTCTCTTCACAAGGACTTTGTCACTCAGCACTTCCTTCTGCCCTGCTGGCTGAGTGGTGTGCCTGGCTTCTCAGCCTCCCCACTATAGGAATTGCTTAGGACCATGCTTCCTGGGGATTAGAGACCCAGGAGATTGAGTACGTGACTCAGAAATGGTCTGTGTTTCCTAGTAACTAAGGATGATTGATGCCGGCAGCCCCCTCCTGCTGTTAAAGTACCGAGATTCTAAAGTAGTAAGTAAAGGAGTGAGGAGCCATAGGCTGGCGACAGGGCCTGAACATTAGTCCCAGACCCACACAGGCGCAAAGGAGAGCAGCTCACGCCCGGCAGGCAGCCATCAATGAGACCTCTGTTACATTAGTGGGCCACCTTCCCAGTGCCCATGTCTATGCATGGCTATGGGTGTGTGCACTTACATGGGAGGCAAGATCTTTCTTGTCCATCAGCCTGGCACTGGCAAATACCAAGAGCCTTAAGAAGGTGTTTCATTCTGTCATGCAGAATTCCAGTCCTCACTCAGCATTTGAGGAACAAAAAGACTTAAGTGGCCTGGTTTTTGGAGTCCTAAGACAGCCAATTTTTATTTCTTTCAATATGAGCTGTTAAGATTCCAACAAAATTTGCTGACTGGCAGGTGTGTGTGTGTCTGTGTGCATGTACGCATGTGCAATCACAGATGTGTTTGCTCTGGTTTCCTTCAATAAGAGTCTGTGACAGTGGTTCTCAACCTGTGGGTCACGACCCTTTTAGAGTCAAGCAACCCGTTTGTGGGTTGGCTAAGACCCTCAGAAAACACAGATATTTACATTACCACTCACAACAGTAGATAATTACAGTTATGAGGTAGCAACAAAAATAATTTTATGGTTTTATCACTACATCATGAGGAACTGTATTAAAGGGTCACAGCATTAGGAAAGTTGAGAACCGCTGTCTAAGAGAACAGAAGGTCAGTTCTTTTGTGTGTTTATCTTCCTCAATAACTCTCCACAATAGTTTTTTGAAGCAGGATCTCTCATTTGAATGCAGGGCTCACTGACTCCATGATCTGCCTGTCTCGGCTGCCCGATTTGGAATACGGGTGCATTCGGTTGTGCCTGGATCTTTAAACTGGCTCTAGGGTCTGAACTAAGGTTCTCATGCTTGTGCAGCAAGCACTTAGCAACTGAGTTGTTTTCCCAGCCACCTTGAGAGTATTCAAACTTCCCCACTTATCTCATTCGTGGTACATTTTATTGTTTATATTTCAAGATTGACTGCATGATTTTGTTTTTGATCCAAGGGCCAGAGAACATGCAGCCGGTGTTGATTTGATAAGTACTGATTTGATAAAGGAGTTGATGTCCTTTGAGGGCTACTGAGTCAAGGAAATTCAGAGATCACTATGTGCTACTAGGAATCAAGAGAGCTCACTAGCGGCGCTGACCAGCCACGTTTACCCTGTGCACACAATGTCAGTTTCTAGATCAGCACAGAAGAACCTGCAGAATCACGAAGCACTGGAACATGCATGTCCCTGGTGTCTGCAAGGAGACTGTGAGCTTAATCTTCATTTACAGTGGTGTTTCCTCAAAAGTCAGGCCACTTGCCAGATGAGGTCTGTCTGGCCTTCTCCCCACATGGTTCTCAATCAGTATCACCCCCTTTTCTGGGCTCAACAACACAGGGCCAGCATGAGCGGCTCCACGTGGCTCTCTCTGGCTGCTGCCTGGGATAAATGAGCCATGCTAATCCCTTTTCACTCTTCTCTCCCAGGATGGCTGCAGCACCTCCACTGCAGACGAGGTGGACACCTGCATGACTACTACCACAACCAGTGCCTTCACCATCCAGGAATATTTTGCCAAGAGGATGGAGCAGTTAAAGAACAAGCCACAGACCTTGACTCCAGAGCCTGACATTTCAGAGACTTCTGTTGAATGGAAAAAGGGGAAGAAAAAAACCAAAGAGGCAGCAGGCACAGATGTGGAGAACTCTCCCCAACACAAAACGAAGCAACATAAAAAGAAAAAGCGTGTGGAAGCAGAGATGTCGCCTGTGGCCAAGAAGAGAGACCGAGCTGAGCTGCAGCCTGGATGCCCCAGTGGGGACGAGTGTTCCGATGCCTCTGTCGAAACTGCAGAAGATTGTCTGCAACCCCCCGACAGCCAGGGTGATGCCCCAAAGTCCAAGAAGAGGAAAGCAAAGAAAAAGCTGCAAAAGCTAGAAGGGGTAGAAATAGACACCACACTAGACAAAGCACTCCTGAAAAAAAAGAAGAAGAAGAAGAAGTCTTCCAGATGACCTCTCGCTAGCCAGAGCCTCTGACCACTTGACTGTCAGCTCCCTTCAGGGCAAACGCTCTAGCCTGACGTCAGAGCACAGGGAACCCCAGGCGCTCAGCATCTTTTAACATGCCCACGGGTTGCCAGCTCTCACCCTCTCACCATGCTTCCCCCAAGCCACCTTCCTGAGAGAACTGACTTGAACGTTCTAGATCATGACTTTTCAATAAATAAAATAAATTTCAATAAACAAATAGATTCTTTCTTATACACTGAACCTTTCACATGAGTGTTAATTCACATCCGTACAAATACAGGTAGGTTTGTGTGTGTGTGTGTGTGTGTGTGTGTGTGTGTGTGTGTGTGTTCGCATTCGCTCTGGTTTCCTTTAGTCACTCACTGGTGCTTCCTTCTGAAGGACTTAGTCTAATTAAGGGATTAAGAGGCAGCGACTTGGATGCAGATGGCTCCTTTTGTTCTGCAGCCAGCCATACATTTCTGCCAAGTGGGAATTACATGACTGCATTCCCCACTGAGGGTTTGCTGTGCTGTGCTTCAGTGTTGGTGGGTGGGTGGTTCTTTCTTCTGCTGAGTGCCAGCCACCAGGGATCCCAGGCCCCTCTCAGTGACAGCACCAACTGGAAACAGTGAGTTCTAGCTTTCATAGGTCACCAGGGGTTCCTGCCCTGGGTGTAGAGTCAGACTTATTTCTGTCTCGTGTTCCTTGAATGAGTCCCGTGTGGTGGGCTTGTTTGTGTATAATGACCAAGAGGTCCCCAGGAAGTTCAAAGAATAGAGAATAAGGCATTAAAGTGATTCTCCTCTTGAGGGCAGGCTCCGCATTAGAGCTGCTTGTGGAATCTGAAATTGAAAATGGAATTTATACCCTGACAATGCTGAGGCATGCATGGGCAGCCCGTATATAGAGAGCCCATATATGGCGGTTCTCTTGACCTTGTCAATATATTGGGTTTCATGGTTTAAGTTGATGAGGACGACTGACCTCTTCCTCAAGAGGGCACCAGATCTCATTACAGATGGCTTTGAACCACCATGTGGTTGCTGGGAATTGAACTCAGGACCTTTGGAAGAGCAGTCAGTGCTCTTAACCGCTGAGCCATCTCTCCAGCCTTCTAGGCATGCTCAAACCAGGTACCCACAATCCCTCCCCTTGCCACACATCCACATGCCTTCTAAGTGCCTCTGCGAGCCAGCCAACTGCTAAATATGGTGGGAGAGCCCTCAGCCTGCGTCCTCTCTACCACTTGCCTTCTTTCTCCTCTGTCTTCTTTCTACCTCTCCTTGTATTTCCAGTTCTCGGTTTTCCTGCTTGCTTCTCAGACCCTGCCTCCTGTCCTTCTGGGGCAGTCTTGTGCCACTGGCCCTAGTTCCTTTAGAACTATGGGGGTCGTTAGTGATCAGGACCAGCCTGGTAGGCAGTGCCCACACTGTGGTGGTTTTGCCCTTGATTTTAATTTCTGGGGTTATATGTGGAGAACTTGACCCCAGAGAGTCTTGAATTAGAAAAATCCATGGAGTCGATCTACTGTCTAAGAACATTGAATAGTCAATGGCTTCAAAAGACAGCCAGCCTACCACCCTAAAGAGGATCCAGGTGGACTTGGAGCCTGAAGTAATCTCCAGTTTCATCAGGTCTCCTGGTGTTTAGAATCCCGAGCCAATAAAGCCCCAAAGGTTTTTAAAGTCACTTTTCCTCACAACTTCTTTGCCTGCCCCATCTTGTTTGTGAAACTGGAGACCCAGGAGGGAGCGCAGCTGCATGAAAGCTGAAGGTTTACCAATGCATGTCTACGGACTTCTTTTGCCTTGTGTTGTATTGAATTTAAAGATTCGTTTACTAATTTACTTCTATGAGTATAAGTGGTTTGCCTGCCGTGTGTACGTACACTGTGTGCACGCCTGGTGCCCTAGGAAATAGAAAGAGGGTATCATATCCTCTAGAACTGGAGTTCCGGATGGTTGTGAGCTGCCATGCAGATGCTGGGGACCCAAAGGGGTTCTTTGCGAGAGCAGTAAGTGCTCTTAACCGCTGAGCCATCTCTCCAGCCGCAGTTATAGTGTTATGTTGGATTTAATTTCCTAGATTAGTAGAAAAGTGAGATTCAAGGGCTGGAGCTCCGTGATAGGGAGCTTGCCTGGCTCCATCCATGGAAGAGAAGAAAGAGGAGTGGGGAGGGAGGTGGGAGAGAAGAGAGCGGAGTTGTTTGCAGGACTGGGTATGTGCGAGGTCCATTTTAGCTACCTGGAGAGATGAGTCCCCAGCAGCCGCATGTCACCTTTTATAGAGGACTATAGAAAGTGACTGTAGTTTTAATGGGCTCCTGGGTGCCTCTTATGTAGTTTGTGGTGGTGGGAATCAAGCATGGGTCTATGTTTCGTAACTGCCAATCAACTATCTTAAGTAGAAAAAAAGAATGTGCTAACCTATGAGTTCTGTGTGACCATTGGCTTTGAAGGAGACACAAGGCTTTCTCCAGAAGCCTCACCTTTCGTGTTTTCCCCCAGTCCCTCAGACTGTTTCTCAGGTCGGAGAGGAAATCAGAATAACAAGTCCACAGGGAACTGCGTTTGATAGCCTGGATACTTGGAAAAATCACGAGCACCCGCCTTCCCCCGGAGTTACTACACTAGGTAAAAATACGTTAATTCTACATCCTTCGTTGCTTTCCTCAACAGCCTCGAGTCATTAGAGGAAACCCGAGTTCCCAGAAGAAGAGCAGCCCTCTGAAGAGCTTCTCCCATGTTGTCTTGCAGGAACCTTTGCTATGGATCTTCCTAGACGATTATTGTTAAGCGGAGTCTTATGTGCTGGGCCCTATTCCAAGCACTTTAAATAAATCAACTTGTTAAATTGTCATTTAGCCTTGTGAGGTAACCTCATTCCTGTCCCCTCTACAGAAGAGTCTTTTGTGATGGCTGGAGATTTATGCTGCCCTGAAGCCCCATGATGCCCCAGCGCCCTCGCCACACCACCATGGGGGCCCTTGGCTCTCAATCCTAGCTTCACCTGCCTTGTAGGCCCTTGTGCTGTATCGTTCCCATAATTTGGTTATTTACTGGCGTGTGGGAAGCAGCTGGCAGACACCAGAGATTTCCACAGCTAACCCACATTAGCTATTCGCGAGAATATGCTCTTGGGTGCATTTGAAACCCCCAGAGGGGCCTCCTTTCCTTCCACCTTGGCCCTGAATTTGTTGGGAACCTGACGATGTGAACTTCTTTACAACCTGTGTTGAAGACTGTGGTTAAAAGGATCTTCTGCTTCATAGGAAATAGTGATGCTTTCGGAAGATAAAACCCAAACTGGCTTTTGTTTTCCTGCACAGGCCATGCCTCTGTTTCTCTCCTCACCTGTCCCCTGAGTGGCAGGAGCAGGCCGAGACCTGTTTGCTCGAAAGACTCGGCACCAGAAGAGTTTGCCTGCAATCTCTCCCAGTGATCTCAGCTCTTGGATCAGCCAGCAGCGGCTGTATTTAGATTTGAGTAAGAACTTCCTCCCCACCCGCCACCCTGTTTATCTCTCTCAGCTTCTGCAGCCGTTGCAGTTTAGAGCCTGTTATGCTGGCATGGAGCAGGAGAGGTCAGATCGGGTGCCCGGTGTGGTGTGTGCTTTTATGGTGTACCATTATTCATGAGCAAATTAGTACCATGTCCTAATAGAGGAGGTGACTAACCTTGCATCCAAGCACAGTCTGTTTAGGAAATACTGAATATATTAGCATGACACTCACAAGCCCTGCTGGATCCGGCAGGAGGAGAAAAAGGCAGGCAGAGACTTTGTGTATAGAAGGGGAACGGAGAAAGCCGGCCGAATCAGAGGTCCCAAAGTGGCGATGGTTGCAGGTAGGGACCAGCTAAGGCTAAGTCACCATGTAAAGAAGCCTACAATAAATTCTTCTGAGGGAAGACCTTTGTAACTAATTACATCTGGAACTTTCCACCCTGGATTTCCTTGGGAAAGTGAACACAGACACCAAAAGGCAGCTATTGTAAAAAATATTTCTTGGTCACCACCTTCAGGCTCCAGGCTGCTCACGGTGGAAGAGCTGACCCACAAAAATCTACCCACATCCCTGTCTGCCCGGCTTGTCCTTGAAAGTAGACCAGTAGATCCTGAGCTAATCCCACTGCACACGCCCAGGCTCTAGCCTCCTCTCCTCTAGCCAAGCAGTGTATCATCCTGAGAACATCCATGTCAGTGCTCCAGTTGGGCCAGAAGCTTCAAGAAAGTCTTTGCCAGCCCATTATTTCACCTGAACCAATGTGTTCTGAAATCTCCGTGTCAACAGCATTTCTAGCCGATTAAATGACGGTCATTCTCCGTGTGTCCCTTCCTACATGGCAACAGGCATGGATTCTTTTGCCACCCGCCCTCTGGTGTTCATGTGAATGCCAGACCCCAGCCAGATACCCTCCAGTGGCCATGCCATAGCAACTCTGCTGAGGGGACAAGGAAGGAAGGAGCAAAGGAGACAGCCTACTCTACTCACTGCCGGAGATACCCCTTCAGCCCAAAGGGACCAAGCCAATCACTGAGGTGCCCGTTAAAATGTCCTACTCAACTTCACAATGTGAAATATTTAGGGAATGGGTAACCTGGGAGATCATGGCCCAAGAATGGCAAATGTGTCCGGTTTCCTTCACCTCCCCTCCTTCGGCCATTCTGTAATGTCCACCCCAGACTCCTCCACTCCTTGACTCTTCCTGCCCTCCACTTGGAGGAGGAGAACTCCACACACCCTGAGTGTTGTAGCGGTTCTGTGTCATTCTTCCCTTTCACTCTGTGGAGATGCTTCTGGCCTTCGTTTCTTCTGCATCCTGGACAATTAATTCCTAGCTCTGTCGGCACCTCAGTGATGTCAAGCCTTTAACCTACCTCTCCAGATGGCCTTTTCCAGCACCTTCAAATCCTAGGGATCATCCAGGAGCTCCTGCTCATCTTTTATGGCTGCCCTCTGGACCTGCCGTTGGCATAGGAACCACCTGCACTCACAGATGTCAACTCCAGTATTGAGAGTTTTCAGCTGCTCTCCCCCGTCCTCCACCAATGTGCCTGAAGCAGGTTGTCTTGAAACTCATAGCTTAGCACTCCCACTGAACCCCTCTCCTATGGGCCCGGTGTGCATCTGGCCTGCCTTTCCACTCTCAAATCTCTGGGACGTTTCCCCCTATGCTGGGTTACCTAGCTCTGGCTCCCTGCCTTGTTCTGTCTGTCCCTCCAGCCCCAT